TATTAAAAATCAGGAACTTGTATATATATTGTAATTCAATATTCATTTCATTAAGAAAAGTGCTGATGCACATTCAGATATCCAGAGTTGGGCAGGCTTCAAAGTTTTCTAATCTAGTGACTAGCCAGTGGTTCTCAACCTTCTGGCCCTTTAAATACAGATCCTCATGTTGTGACCCAACCATAAAATTATTTTCGTTGCTACTTCATAACTGTAATGTTGCTACTGTTATGAATCGTAATGTAAATATCTGATATGCAGGATGGTCTTAGGCGACCCCTGTGAAAGGGTCGTTCGACCACCAAGGGGTCGCGACCCAAAGGTTGAGAACCGCTGGCTTAGAGCAAAGGGAGGCATTAGGTACTCTAATGTTAGTGGGACCGCCACGGTGGTTGTCATAATTAACTGCAGGTGGTTGTGTGGCGAGAGCCTAGAGTGTGGGGAAAGAAGAGGAGAGAGGACAGGAGTCAGAAGGTGAGGTCAGCCTTCGAAGGCCTTGAACACCCCCACCCCCCTGGAGGTCTCTGGGCTTTGTTCTATAGGCAATACAGAGCCACTAAGGGTACCCGATGCTGTGTTCCAAATGGTGCTGCTGCCTGCCCAGTCCACAGGACACCTCCCAGCATCCTGTGACCTCACCTGTCCTGTTTTTCTACTCCTGGTCCACACTGGTTATCCCAAAGCCAGAGCTGAGTCTGCTCTCCCACAATCACCGTTCCCATCACTCCTGTTCTCAAATTCCACCTGTGAGCCGCAGCCCTTGCCAACAGTCCAGACCTGGGTACAGGAGCCCTACAAAACGACGGTCAGCTAAGCCAGGTCAGTCTGGGGAAGAGGAAGAGACTGCTCCCAGCTCTGAGATCAACGCAGCCTCACCTGAGCGCCCTTAGGAACAGCCCTCTTCCCTGTTGCCCTCCCTGTGGGTCCTGCTGGGCTCCTCTCTTTGCCACTATTTAACCCTCAACTGGCCTTCCTCAAGTCCTATTTCACTTTTCAGGCTACTCTGAAAAATACATCTGCTCCAACAAGTTAACAGGATTCTTTTTCTTCTTGTGACCAAAACCTGTCTGCATGTTAGCAGTGCCTTTTGGGGACCAGGAACACAAATAGGGCAGTCTCATAAAATACTGCCTGCCCAGTTGAATTTGAATTTCAGATAAATAACAAAATAAAGCGTTTACTGTAAGTATAACCCGTGCAATAATTACAGTATACTTCACACTTTAAAAATTACGTGTTGCTCCTCTGAAATTCAAATTTAAATAGGTGGCCTATATTTCTTTTTGCTAGTCTAGCAACTCTGTCCTTCACAAGGCCCTTGGGAATCTGTTCTGGCTTCTCTGCCTAACAGTACCTCCTGAAACATGCTTCCCACCTGCTCCCTCTACACCATCCCTCAAGTGCCCTATGTCTTTCCTTCTCTTGCTTCTGCAGCTGCCCAGCATGAGAGTCTAGTCAGTCTTCAAGGCCAGTCTAAAGTCACTGACCCTGACCCTGACCACTCCCAACCTCTAGGCTCCCCTGTGCTCTATGCTAGGTCAGAGGTCACTGTTCAACACAGCCCTCAAGTTGGTACTTGACTCTCTCCACACTTGTTATCCCAAATGCTTCCTGAGGGCCAACTCCATCGTATGTACTCTGGAGCCCCAGCAGTCAGCTAGACCTGGCACAGATATCAGAGCAAGATGGTAAAAGCTAATATTTATTGAGACCTTATCACATGCCAGGCACTGGGCTGTGCACACGTCATCTCATTTTATTCTCACAACAACCTATTAGAAAGGGGAGGAACCTGGGGCTTGGAGAGGTCAAGCACCTTGCCTAGGGTCCTGCAGCTCTTCAGTGGCAGGGCCATGAAGCCAGGCAGCCTGACTCTAAGGTCTGTTCTCTGTGATTCCACTTATAATGGACTAAATACCTTAACCCAAAGGAGCAATTCCCACAGAGCTTTAAGAAGCTGCCTGGGGAGCCAATCACCTATGTTTCTGGAGTCTCCCACCCCCACATAATAAAGCAAAACAGCTACCAGCTGTGCCTAGGCCCTGTCGGTAAGGAGGAAGATGTATGTTCGGTGAAGTACGAGACAAGCATTACAAACCACTGTTCATGGCAGTGGAAGGCATTTACAGATAACGGATTGAGGAGAATAAATGTCTGGGAAGAAGGCAGGCATTTCTGGGGGGTGGGGAAGAAGGCAGAGGGAAGGGTATATGGGTCAAGCAGGATAGAATTGGGACCTGGTGTAAAGGGGAGGATTTTGAGAAGCGGAGAGAGAGCACTCCCAGTGGAAAGAGCTTAGCAGAGAGGCAGTGACGTGAACAGCGCCTTAGTCCCAAAATACGGCCCAGGCTCAAATGCCCCAGAGCCAGAGGGGTGGTGAAAATGAGTAAGGGGAGAGTCTAAGAAAGCAGTAAGAGCTGTGTTGAACAGTGACCCCTGGCCTACCACAGGGCCCAGCCACTAAACTCCAGTTCCAGCTGGTGTCTGCCCAAGAGTGACCTCCACCCAGGCAGTGGAGTCTCAGATATTTTTTTTATTTTTAAAAGAAATGAGCAAGCTGCATTTTGTTATCTTCCCAATTTCTAAAAGGCTAGAAAACAACCTGTCATCCCACAGAACATATGTCTGTCTGCAGCCTCTACTTCGGGGAACAAGGAAGGATTCCGGTGAGGAAGTGGCTCAGGGAACCCGAGTGCTGGGCAGTGCTGGGCAGTGCTGGGCAGTCCAAGGTTTAAGAAAGGAAGTCTCTCAAGAAAGAGGTGGTTTGCATGACAGAGACCAAGGGCAGGAACCAGCAGGGGAAGCAGAGAAGAGAGAGGACTGATGACCCTGGAAGGAGACAATTCAACCTCCTGGTTTTGAGTTGGGCGGTGACAGTCCAT